TTGGTGGTTCAAATCTACCAGCTGCTCCTTGGGAGAAAGAGGAGGCCATCCTGCTCCTACAAAGACTTAAGAACCAAACCAAACTCAGTGCCACTGAGCCCATGCTAACTCGTCGTGACCCTATAGGACAGGGTAGAACTGCCCTTCTGAGGTTTGAGACTGTCACTTTCTACAGGAACAGAACCCTTTCTGTAGAAACCCATATAGGATTGCTGGGGTCAGAATTGACTCTTGATGGTGGGTGGGGCCATTCTTTTATGAAAACAGAAGATTCAGAAGAATCGATGCCTTTGAACTGTGGTGTCGGCAAAGTATGTTGAACATCATACCATGAGCTGTCGAAGAATGGATACCAGTCCTGGAAGAAGGACAGCCCAGAATGCCACTTACAGGGTAAGGATAGTGACACTTCATCTCTCGTATTTGGTGGCATTATCAAGAGAACCAGCCCCTGGAGAAGGACAGTGAAGAAGAGGAAGACAAAGGAGCTGGCCCTGTGGAGATCTCCACGGTGGGCTCAAACACAGGAACACTTGTGCAGATGGTGTGGGACCAGGCAGTGTTCCGTTCTGTAGTACAGAGAGTTACTGAGTCAGAACTCACTCGGCAGCACCCGACCACCATCCTTCTGGGGCCGTCAGGACTTCACTTTGTAGCTGGGATACTGAGGTGCAGAGAAGTCAGAGAATCAGTTCTGTAACAGGCCTGAAGAAAGGCTACGTGTCTGCTTGCCACACGTGACATCGTTAATGAGTCTAGTGCTTTTCAGAACATGACGAGTTGGTGACTGGGTGAATTCGATCCATTTGGTTCATCATTGCATTAGCAAGCATTAACCTGTGTGGCAATGAATAGGGCCTGTTTACTTGGTTTTCTGTGCGCGCAAGCGCCAGCGCACTTCTAAGGCAAGTCTCTGAGAGATCACTTTGTTCTGTTTACTCAGAGTTTGGTTTTCCAGAGTGGTGTTTACAGCCTTTAAGTGGACTCGCAAGCGAAGCAGATTTTCCAGGTTAAAGTTCAAACAGCAAGGCAGCTCCTGTCAACTCGATCATTCTTCAAGGAAGTTAAGTGACTACCTGTAGTGGCACTTCAGTCTTTAAAGCAAACTTGGAATATTTACTTTACTTACCTGTAAATAAGATGGGCTCTGGCCTATTTAACTGTGCAGGAAAATACAGAGCTTTGTGTCGGCGCGCAGTTTTGAGACGTCTGATTGCTTTTGAATTGTAGTATATGATCACAGAGCATTAGCTAAACAGCAACATTTCCTGCTTGCTAGCAGTCCGTACTTGTAAACATGCCGTGGACAAATGGGTCAGTTGCTAGTTACTAGTAGAACTATAAATGTTGGAGAAAATGCATTTTATGTTTTGACGATAAGATCTAGTAATGTCTTTTTACCAAAAAAGTTTTTTTTAATCATATGGCCTTTTTTTGTTGTAGTTTTTCACATTTCTGTTGTCCTCGGGTTTCTGGCTGGGACAGGCACAGATCTCTGGGACTGTTGTGAAGACCACGCCACAAATACCTGCATTGACCTAGAGTTGCCCTTGGTTCACATCATCATCTAAACTCACTGTCATCCACTCAGTTCTGATTCGTAGTGACGCTGTAGGTTTCCAAGACTGTAACTCTTTATAGAAGTAGAAAGCCTTGTCTGTCTGTCTGTGCCTGGTGGTTTCGAACTGCTGACCTTGCAGTTAGCAGCCCAATTTGTAACCACTACGCCACCAGGGCACCTCACATTTTTATATACTTGCCTTTCTTGTCTCACTCTTTTATGCTTCCTGTGAGGGTTTCCCCCCCTCTTTCCCTGCCACTCAGATGTGTATGCGTGCACACATTGTACAAACCATTTGAGAGTTGGTCGTAGACATCATATCCAATGCATGGATCTAATAACAACAGAGGCTATATTCCAGTTATCTCAGTAATGTCCCTTTAGCTAGGAGTCTCCCCTCCTCTAGTCCAGGGCCATCATGCCTTTCCTTGTGTTGTCCAGTTGCTTTAATCTCCTTTACTCTAGAACAGTGCCTAGCCTCTTTCCAGGACATTGGCATTGGGACAGATGGCACAGAGATGTTTGAAGAATCCAAACTGATTGTTTTGCAGACTGTCCCTCAGTTTGGGTTTGTCTGACTCTCTCCTCCTGGCTGGATTCAAGTTAGGCAGTTTTGGCAGGATTGAGATGGACGGGGGTGATGGTGGGGTGGTGAGATGTCTTTCTGAGTGCATCACACTAGGAGGCCAAGATGGCAGAGTGACCCATTGTTGTGCTCTTCACTTGGTAATTTGACCAAGCCAGATGGCTGTCAGATCGCATCATATCCCCTTCCCCAGCAGCCTATCAGATGGTGGTGGTTACAGCCCACCTTGCCTTTATTTTCTCGATAGACAGAATATGTGTAGGGTTTCATAGGAAGTAGATACTTAACTCACACCAACTTACTGCAGCTGTATTGAGTAAAGGAAGGCCTGGCACACATTAACATGCCTGTGTTGCTGCTGTTAACAGCGATCCCCTGGACGACAGAGCCAAACACTGCCTGGTGTCCGGCGCCGTCCTACAATCATTGTTCTGTTTGGGTACACTGTTCAGCCAGTGTAGCAGGGTCTTCTTTTTCACTGACCCTCTCCCAAGCATGATGTTCGGTTCCGGGGACCCGTCCTTGTTGATCACGAGTTCAAAGTCAGTGAGACAGTCTTGCCTTCTTGCTTCCAGCGGGCATCCTGGCTGCACTTCCTCCAAGACAGATTTGTTCGTTCTTTGGGCAGCGCACAGGACTTTCAGTGTTCTTCACCACGCATGTGAGGCCAGTAACACTTGAAAGAGGTCTATTGTAGCAATTTGTCCAACACAGTAGGTCACTGGATTTCCTGGAAATGTTGTTTCCATGGACATTGATTGTGGATCCAAGTGAAGTGAAACCGTGGACAACGCGATCTCGCCTCCACTTCTTCTATCTTAGGTTGCTTACTGGCCTGCTTGTAGGATTGTTTTCTTTGTCTTGAAGTGTGACCCATACAGCGCTCTGTCGCCTTTGATCATCGTCTCTAAGTGCTTCGAGTTCTCTGCTTTCAGCAAGCACAAGTTGTGAACAAGCCTTCCGCAAACCCTGACCACAAGACTTCTTCGTATAGTCCACCTCACTGATGATTTGTTCAGCATGCAGATTGCATAAGTATCGTGAAAGGATACAACCAGGACACACACCTTTAACGGGGATTTAAAAATACATGCTTATCTACCTCAAAAAGGAAGAACTATGACTGAATCCACTAATGCTGGCCTGAGGCTGCAAGTCGTCAATACCTGCTTTTGGATACCTGCTTTGTTCCCCGTCCCCAGACACAGATGTGTTGACGTCACCAGAGGAGGGCGGCCCTCTTCCTTTGTAGGTTGGCTCAAGAAAAGGCTGGTCAGAGCCTTTGGGTTTTTGCATTCGCTATGTAGTCCTGGGCTCTGGGGCAATAATAACTTGGAATAACTTGAGCATGAATATTCCACATGCTGGGGGAGGGATGGGCTTTGGAAGTGCAGGTCTGGCACTGGTGCCCCAGATGGTTCCATTGGCCCTGATGAAAATTAACATTTATAATACAAGGCCCCTCCCCCCCCACTTCCTCTGCCCCCCAGCCTCTTCCAGGGAAGGATTGGATTTGGGAGAGCACAGGGAATTGTAATTAAGTTTAAGCCTAGATGGGAGGCAGCCTGCCTGGCTGACTTCCTGATTCAATCGGCAGAGATGGCCTGTGGTTTGAGTTGCCGTCTTCTGTTGTGTATGAACCATTAGCCCATGCACTAATTAAGCACAGTCCTTCCTGCCTGGATTAGCTTCTTTGCCCATCTCTTTGCCCATATGCCCATGTGACCTGAGTGCAGTTGGGGACACTTGGGCAAAGTGGCACTTTTGTGAAACCCTGGTAGCGTTTGAGAACCACCTTCCTGTGCTGGCTTGACCTCTGTGCTGACATCACTGCCTGGGAGAACCCCAAGGCCTGGGTGGGCCCCTGCTGGGTTCTCTGTGGATTGACTGTGAGAGGCATCCTTCTGTCTGGCCCTCTTGGGAAGATGTGTGTCCGCAGTTTCGTCTTACAGATCTGCTATAAGAAAGTGACTGTACACATAGTCCGCGAGTTATGAGGGGGTTCCATCCCCACGAACCCATTTTAAGTCAGCTCTCACATGAGCTGAGTACCTTGATTTTAGTTTTGATTATTGTTGCCATAGCTTGTTCCACGGCAGTGTTGTGAACAATTGTACATTGTAACAATTGGACATCTGCAAAGGAGCCCAGGTAGTGTAGTGGGTTATGTGTTGGGCTGCTCACCAGAAGGTCAGGAGATTGAAACCAGCCACTCAGCAGAGAGGTGAGGCTGTCTGTCCCCGTGGAGATTGACAGGTTGGAAGCCCTGGGGCAAGTCTGGAGGGTCTCTAGGAGTTGGAATCCACTTGAGGTCAGTGACTCTTTGTCAGGTGGACTCATGAGATGATACCATTAGCAAATCACACAACATCGTATCCAGTACATCTTATTAGTAATGCGATGTTAACATACTCAGGTATGACCCAAACCGGGGTCTACCAGTCCTCCCTCTTGCTCATTAGGTTCGGCCAAACTCCTGCGCCTGAACTCTGAGGGTTTCCTTCATCCGCTCCAGTCTCATCCTCTCCATTCGCTGTCATGGACTGCTTCCGTGTGACCTTGAGCAGGTTGCCTAATCTCTGAACTTCAGTGTCATTAAAAAGTAGATCCTCATAGCAGCTCTTCCCGTGCAGGGTTCTTCGTGAGGATGAGGTGAGGCGGTTTCTTCAGAAAACAATAGCCCCTGGGGTACAGAAGTTCTAGGTACCAATGGTGAACTTTAAAAACTTAAATTGTCTCTCTATATCCTCCTAGCAGGAGGAGGCTGGTTACATGTTGGGCTGCTAATTGCAAGGTTGGTAGTTCGAAACTGCCAACTCCTCCTCGGGAGAAAGACAGGCCTTTCTACCCCCTGTAAAGAGTTAGGTCTCAGAAACCCACAGGTGCAGTTCCACCCTGTTCTACAAAGTATGAGTCAGCATCAGCGTGGTGGCAGTTGAGTTTGAGGGTGTGACAAGCTTGTGCTGTGGCAGTAATGAGCACCTGATGAGTTGTGAGGCCCAGCCTCACATCCGGATGGGTCCGAAGGGGCGGTTGTGTAATTGAGGAGTAAATGAAAGAGACATGAGACAAGGCCTGTAAGGACTCCCTTCTTCCGTGGAGACCGGAACCAGAATGAGACGGTAAGCACAAGGGAACAAGAAGGGGCTGTATTAGAGGGATTTACGAACCAGGAGGGGGATGAGCTAGGGGTAGACACGCAATAGGAAGGAGAGGCACTAGAGGCATACATGTGACAGGGAGGTACATATGTAACAAGATGGGCTGATCTAGAGTCAAAATGGTAGCCTAACCTTGGTCATCTCGGAGCTGGCTTGACCTAAGTGTCTCTGAGCTCTTTTCCAGGGGAATAATCTGTGAGCCTTAATCGGAAGGGATTGGGCCCTACTTAGGGTGGGATAGACAACAGGGTCAAATTGCTCTCGCAATTTTCAGGCAAGTAGCACCTTAAAATTGGCATTATTACGGGGTGGGGTGGGGCGTCATGGGGAGTAACTTTTATTTAGGAGAATGTGACTGGAACACATCTCCAGCCTACGAAAGTGAAGGTCTCCCTCCACAGGAGCCCCAGCCGGCTGCCCAGACTCCCTAATGTGTGAAGGTAGAGAATTTGTCGCATGCACTCCATGCTTTGTGTGTTCCTTTAGCCCTCGTGAGGCGCCCTGGGGAGGAAGATGAGGCTCTCTACTCCTGGAGAAGACTGGCAGTCAGCCTCAGAAACCCAAGGGACAGTTGCTGTGAGTCTGGCCTGACTCCCTGGCAATGAGTGTTTGGTTTTAGTGACCCTCGGTGGCTCTGCCAGTTAAGAGTCAGCCTGCTAACCACTAGGTCTGTGGTTCAAAACCACCATTTGCCCTGAGGGAAGGCGATGAAGCTGTCTGCTCCTATGAAGACCACAACCTTTTCTTGGAAACCTTTTCTCTGTAGGATCAGGCACATCGCAGTCCTCCAGGCCACATCCGTGATCTCTAACACTTTAGGGAGGTCTGTGCAGCAGACTGTGAGGACGGTGCAGTCCTGGTCCCAGTCACTTGCTGGGCTCATTCGGGCAGGAAAGATGACAGTTTTGCTTCGATCAGCTGTCACTCAGGAGGACCAGCCTGGCCATGTACTTTCCACTTGACTGCATAGTTGGAGGGGGCCATTCCTTGGGGTCTGGTGGCTTCCCGGCCTGATTCTTGTGTGTGACTAGGATTACTAAGGGCGGTGCCTGGGCCAAGAAGCCGTTTCTATAGATTTAGCTGCAGACGAGGCCGCCCAAGTCTTTGTCAGTGGCCGACAAGAGGCAAGTAGCCTTGGGGAGGGGCCGTGAGAATAGGAGATGCCCACTCTTTCATACTTCCCTTACTTCTGACCCCCGCCTCCTGCTTTTGCCCCGTATTGACCCTGTGCCCCCCTTCTACCCACTGGCTTGATTTTTTCCTATCTTGGCCTGGCAAGGCCTGCCACCAGTTGGGTGTTTTTCCCTTCAGCCTAGGGAAGGATGTTCGAGATAGCAGTGACTAAAATGGAAAGTCTGCCCAGACGGTGTCCAGCCACAGACACCAGGGAGGGCTTAGGGAGTGTCCCCATATGAGGTTTTCGTCCCAAGATGCCAGGCCTGGCCCTGACCCAAGAAATGCTGGGCAGCTAGTGAGTGAATATCTGCAAAGGGAGGAGGCTCCCACTCACCGCTGCTTTTTCTTCTGCAGGAAGGACGCCAATTCTGCCCTGCTGAGCAACTACGAGGTAAGTAGCTGTGACGGGGACTGTCCGATCCTCCTCTCCAAGTGTTTGCCCCCGGCTCCCGGCAGGTGGCAAGCTGACTGGGGATAGAAACAACAGCTTGTCTGGGGCTCCCATGTGCTTTAAAGCAGACAAATGACCCCATCTAGTGTACTTGGGACTGTTCTAAGCTTGCAAATGACACTCCTGGTGGGGAGGAGGGGCGCACTGTCAGCTAAGTGTTGGACTGCTTAACCACAAGGTCAGTGGTTCAAGCCCAGCAGCTGTTCTGTGGGAGAAGGATGAGGCTGTCTGCACCTGTGAAGATTTACAAAGCCCTGGAAGCCTGAGATAGGGGTGCTATGAGTTGGAACTGACTCAACAGCAGTGGGTTGGTGGGTGTCAGGAGCACCCGGTATTTCAGGGAAGCTGGAAATCCTTTTGCTTATAGGAGGTAATGTGCTGGGCCTCCCGGAGACTGGCTTTGAAGCTGTGGGAGGTGGCCTTCTGGGCCAGTGTGGGATTTGCTCCAAGTTCAAGTGTTTTAGCCACTGGGGTAGCACACTGTGCTTTAGATCTACTGCTGTTCCCAAAAGGAGGGGTGGACAGGGACAAGGGGCGGTTGTCTCTGGCAACAGCCTGTTAACCTCACATGCCTTCATGCTTTGGTATTCTCTGAAACAGTAAAGGGGTCCCCTCTTCCTCCCATTAACCCTCGGACCCCACTGAAGTTATGTAGCAGGGTTTTTCCCCTCTTTTTTATAAAGCACCGTTGGTCACTTTCTGTTCCATGTTTATTGTACCAGGTTTCCTTATTAGAGAATCAGAATCATTCTGTGTGTATATATACTTAAGAAAATTTGTTTTTGAGATCAGACGAGATGGCTGGCCCAAGAAGTAGGGGGTGGGGCGTGGAGAAGTTCATGGAAGAAGAGGCTGACAGAGGTCGACTTCCTCCGGGGCCTGTTTGGAGCCCTTTCGGAGTGATGGAATGAGTAACTTGGGTTTGCGTCTTTGACCCGGATGAGAGCGCACCCGTTGCTGCTCTCCTCGTTCACAGCAGTCAGTACATCCTCCACCCCGGACTCACTCTGCCTGCGTGGGGACAGCTGAGCTGCCCCCTTCTCTTATGTGGCCTTCAAAGCCATGACCTGGGAGTAGACACAGAGTGCGAATTTATTTCTAAGAACCTTGTGCGTGCCTCTTCCTAGGTGTTGCAGTTACTGACAGATCTGAAAGAGCAGCGCAAAGAAAGTGGGAAGAATAAGCACAGCTCCGGGCAGCAGAACCTGAATACCATCACCTATGAAGTAAGCGGCGGCGCCTGCTGCAAGACAGTGCTTTCCCGTGCCCGGGCTCGGCCACCCAATCCGGGTGGCTAATCACCTGACCACAGCTCAGTTTCTGTTCTGAGTGTAGAAGTCATTCTTTCCCGTGTTGAAAATCCAGAAAGTATCAAATAACATCGCGAAGCAAGCAGTTTGTCACCTTAATGTCTGCTCGGCATGTTGGTGCCTTCTCTCCCTCATTTTTTCCCCTCAGAGTGGCTGGTGGTTTCAAACTCCTGTCTTTGTGGTTAGCAGCCCAGCTCGTAACCTACGAGGCCACCATGGCTCTTGCAAATATCCTGTAGCTTTTGCCAGTTAATTTTAGCATGGACCTTACCTGCCCTGACTGCCAGTGAGGTGGTTTTCTTTCTCCTATCTTCATTCCTGTTTGTTGCCACAGGAAGAGCTGCCGTGCCCTACCCGTGTATTTCTTTATCCCACCAGTGATCTTTAGCTGTTTGTACACGTGTGCACTTTTTTATTCCTCGTGTGCCCACACTTTAAAAAACTTGTCTGAAATAGCCTAAGAGCTGCAGTGTCAGAGTTTTCTTTCGAAGAGCAGAACGTTTTTTTTTTCTAAAAAACATACCAGTCATTGAAAAATGTTTTATTTTGGTGATGTGGAGGCTGTACACAGCAGAACATCCCAGTTGAACAGCTTCTGTACAATGCAGTGATGTTGACGGCATTCTTTTCTTTCTGTGACCATGTCCATCCTTCTTTCTGAGTGGTCCCTCCCCCATCCACATGGACACAAGGCCCCCTAAGGTTCTGAGCTGCTCATGCCACTTGGGTCCCACACAGATCGATCTTCAGAGAGCACAGGGCTCCACACAGGCCTTTATTGGGTTGAGCTAAATGAGGGCACTTGAGACTGGAGGGGTTCTGCTTAAGTTTCAGGCTTAAAGATGTTCTTGGGACAGTGGTCGGAGTTTATTTGGCCTCCGAGGCTCCAGAAAGTCTGAATGTCTTATGATCCTGGCGATGGTTTCCTCTTGGGGGACTTCCTACTCGGAAAAGGCCAGATGCCCTGCAGGGCTATGTCATACAGAGGGCTTTTCAGAAGAAAAGGGTCAATGCCGAAGTACAGTCACAGCCTCCCCATTTTCTCAGGGCTCATTGCCTTCTGCCTGCTTTGTTCTCTCTCGTAGACATTAAAGTATATATCGAAAACGCCGTGCAGACATCAGAGTCCCGAGATTGTCAGAGAATTTCTCACAGCGATGAAAAGCCACAACTTGACCAAGTAAGTAAAGGTGACCATTAACTAGGAGGAGAGGGACCCTTCAAGTAAAGGAGAGCTTGGAAAAGCCTTTCTCTGCACTTGGGGATACAAGTGACACCTCAGTGTGTCGTGAACCCATGGTGCCCTTTTCACATGGTGCTGCTGCCATTTGGAGATGAGCTAGCAGAGACCCAGGAACCTGGGCTTTTCCAAAGCCCTGGGCAGGCTGGTGCATCTTTTGTCTCCTGGGCCTTTTCTAGGAGTCCTACAGCATCTGGCCTGGCTCCTCCAGACCTAGTGGGCTGGAAAGTGCGCTCACAATGAAAGTACTTAGCACAAAGCTGATGGGGAGAAGCCATTGCCATCTGCTTGACATCTGTGTTTGCTGGAGGCCACGCAGCCTGTATTCTTGCCTGCCCTTCAGAGGGAGACTTTGGTGAATGAGCTGCACATATAAACCTGTAAAACACCATGAAACATCCGATCAAATGTTTCCCCAGGAAGAAAACTTACCTCTGTTTGTTAGAATTCATCCGAGAAGCAAAGGTTCCCAAACCTGTTGTCATTTCAGTCCACAGTCGGTAGCTGTCTTGTGGAGGCGCTTCCGTGGTGTTTGAGCCATGCAACTGACACACAAGGAGTCGGCTGTGTGCACTTGTCTGCCTCGCCTCCATAATGAACCCCGAAGATGGCGTTTGGAATGTGATTTCCACATACGAAGGGGTACACGGAAAACCTGGAAAAAAGCTCCTCGGGGCAGAGCTTTCATAGTACGCAGTTTTTCCCACTAGGCGAGCATTGCCTGGCAAGGTTCTCTCTGCTCCTAGTGAATTTTTTTTGTGAGAGCATTTTTGCTCAAACCTCGTTTTTTTTTGTGATGGCTGATTTAAGAGAACAGTGTGTGGCTGTGAAATTTTGTTTCCTGCTCAGGAAAAATGTCACTAAAACTGTTGTGATGTAGAACACAGCTTACAAGGACAGTGCTCTGGGAGAAACTCAAGTGTACCAGTGAGTGGTTTTCTCGTTTCAGAAAAGGTGAAATGTTAGTTGATGACAAGCCTCATTCTGGATGTCCGTCAATTTTCCAAAGGACGAGATGTCGACTCTTAGTGCATTTGGAGTTTGTTCCAGTAGGTCAGACTTCATCAAGCTTTCTATTGAGAGGTTCTGGAAAGATTGGGTAGCAGTGTGTGACAAACAGGCCTGATTTGTGGCAGACGTGGACTGGTTTTGCCACCACGACAATGCACCTGCTCATGCAGCCATCTCAGTGCTCCAGGTTTTGGCAAAAAAGCAGCATGCCTCTCTTGCCTCAGGTACCTTCCTCATCTGACCTCACTCCGTGTGACTTCTTTTTGTTTCTGAGAATGAAGAGGGACATGAAAGGACAGTGATTTGATGACATAGAAGAGGTGAAGAAGAAAAAAAACCACGGAGGTTCTGTCAGCCATCCAAACCAATGAGTTTGAAAAATGTTTCCGAGAATGGAATCACAGATTTGACCAATGTATTAAGTGTCATGGAGACTACTTTGAAGGTATTAAGGTGATTTTGTGAAAAACAAAACAACCCCCCCCCCACAGATTTGGGGAGAAAAATGCTGGGTCTTAGGGGGTACCCCCTTGCATGTTCTACAATCAGTGGTTTGCCCTTTCATTTCTCTTAACTGCCTTTCGCAGGGCAGATATTTCTAATTTGGACACACTCAGGTGTTCCCTTTTCAGGTAAGCAGTTGGTGTATGTTCGCGCTCTCTGCCCAACCGAGGCATGTCTGTCTGCCTTACTCTGCGCTGGGCACTGACTCGGGAAGAACAAGGAAGAATCACTGCGTTTGAATTCACGTGCTGATAAAGGAGATTGAAGGCGCCACGGCACCAGAAGAACAAGTCTCCTGGAGGAAGGACAGCCAGCATGCTCCTTGGAAGGGAGGAGAAGGCGAGAAGTTGCTGCCGTAGACGTGTTACCAGGAGAGACCGGTCCCTGGAAAAGGACATCGCGCCTGGTAAAGTAGTGGATCAGTGAGAAAGAGGAAGACCCTCAGCGGGATAGATTGACCCCATGGCTGTGGCAGTGCCCTCAAACAATTGTGAGGACGTGTTGAAGCCCACCCCAGGACATCCAACAGCAAAGTTACAGTCTTGCTGTTCTACGGCCAACCGGTAGAGGGAGCTGGCAGGCTTCTTTCTTAGGCTGGGCCAGGAGGTAGCCAACTGTCATCAGCACATTGGAATTCAAGTGTCCTCAATAGCTGATGACCCAGAAGTGTGCCTGCCAAACGCCATCAAGCTGTGGGCCGGCTAGTGTCGGGACAGAATCAGAGTTGCAGCAGGAACGGCCAAGGTGCATCTTGCTCTCTGGGTCTGAATATCCTCTGTAGGGTTTTTCTTGGGCGGAAGTTCTCAGGGGAAGATGACTCAAGTTAGTAGCCCTTACCTGGCCAGCCCCATCCCTGCAGACTGGTGCTCCATTCATCTGCATCAGTGCCTCGACTACCAGAGAGTCCTCGAGGGCAGGTGTTGTAGAGGCGGTTCTGCCTCACAGAGACCCTGTGTACCCCAGAACAAAGCACTGCCTCCCTCACCGTTGTTAGGTTTGAGCCCAGCTGTGGCTGTGCCACTGTGCCAGTCCATCTCATTGAATGTCCTTCCCCCCCCCCACCCCTCCTTTCCTGTCACCCTCTGTTTTTTGCCAAGCAGATGTCTTTCTCCAGGGGCTGGTCCCTCCTGATCACATGCGACAGTGGCCCGCCGTTGGTTAGGTTTGGGACCGTGTTCTATTTAAGTCGATCACAGTCGTGTTGGTGCTCAATTTGTAGTCACCCTGTCACCTGCCATTTCTTCCGTGCCACCTTCCTTCCCCCAGAGCATGTGGCTGTTTGTCACAGGAAGGTTTTCACTAAGGCACTTAGTTCTCAAGGAGCTGCAGCCTGCCTTGCAGGCCCAGGTCTCCTCCCTCAAGGGCACAGCCACTCTGCCAGGAATAGTGTGAGTACTGGCTGGCTTTCGAGCCCTGACACCAGCTAGCCAGGCCCCTAAGTAACGAGCTTGAAGTGCCCTCACAAGGGCTTTCGGCGCACAGATTTCTCTGGGGCTGGGCACCGTGTGCAGGACATATGCCTTGGGACCAGTGAAGCACAGCCAGTGGGTTGTTGGGGTTCCCTCGCCCCTGGGATGTTCAGGGCTTGGCACTTTGCCCCGTGCCTCCTGGAGTTCTCCAGTCTCCCTCCCAGGGGCCCCTCCTGGAAGGCAGGAAGTGCCGTGCTCATTGGGGCACAGAGGAGACAGACTGAGGCTTCAGGATGGGGCATCCTACCCTGTCTTCAGAAGGTGGCGCTGGCTTTGCTGTGACAAAGAGTCTGCAGAAGCTTTTGCTCTTTCTGAGGTCATGCTTTTATATTTTGGTACCTCTGTTTGAACTGTGGACCTCATAGTCAAGCACTTACCTCTTAGTGGCATCCTGAGGACCTACTGAGGCCATTCTTCTCTGAAAACCTCATGTGGCCACAGTGTGCATGTATTCGTCTTCCTTTCCCAGCTGGCTTGTAAGCTCTCGGGGCGGAGACCAGACCTTGCTCTCCCGTGGGTCCCTTCTGCTGCCTGACAGTTCTCGTTTCATTCGGGGTACTCAGCTAGCAGGTCCGATCTGAGCCACACTGTTGTCAGAAAGGGAGTCTGCCTCTCCCAAGCTCGGCCTGCCACCCAGGATGAGTGTGTCTGGCTCTGCTTCCCCTGGTTTGTATTAAGACAGCATTCCTCATGTTTTCCCAGCAGGGATGACTGTGTCAAGTACGGACTTCTCCAGCTCCGTCTCTGCCATATTCCATACACTCCAGGCCTCCCTTCCCTCTGGGATCCCGATGCCCATTTGTGCTCTTGGGACAGTCAGGAACATCACTTCTTGGGTCCCTGTTCTCTCCTTTTCTGGGTGAAGGACTGGAGGCGGGTTCCCAGTGGCGCCCCTGTCACCCCCAGCAAAAAAAGAAAAGAAAAAACACAGCTTTGGTGGTGATGGTCCTTCCATTTTTATCTGACAAGAGTGTTATCGAAAAAGCTTGGTCGAGACTCAAGACCTTTGGAGGCATGAGATTTTACGAGTGTTTGTCCTTTTCTTTGGACAGAGCTGAAAAGCTGCAGCTGTTGAACCACAGGCCTATGACTGCTGTTGAGATTCAGCTGGTGAGTAAAGGGGTCCTGAGCTCTGGGAGGCTTAACCCCACTCCTGCTGGGCTGGAATGTGGACAGGGTCAGGGGCTAAGAAGGGATAAACCTGAGCTGCCATTTCTTGAAGAGGCGCGTGCCCCCCTTCCCCACTGCCCACCCCCCAATTTTATAAGAAGAAGGAGAAGCTCACCAGCTCACGTGCTCCTAGTTCTGAAGGAGTTAGGAGCAATACAAGACTGAAGAAGATCCCATTCCTCCCCTGGCATCCTCCAGCGCTCTGGCTGAAGGGGCATTTCATTGCTCACCAGATGCCGCATAAGAGCATTAGCCCCAGCCTAGCTGCCCTTCTGCTCTTGCTCCGTCTCCTTTTTTGGCTAATGGAATATGCACTAATTTCCCACATACATTCCTTATTGTTTGGCAAGTCAACTTTTTGTAGGTGGTCAACCTGACCAAACTCACTGCCATCGAGTTGATGCTGACTTCTAGTGACCCTATTGGACAGGGTCGAGCTGCCCCTGGGAGTTTCAGGAACTGTAACTCTACAGGCGTAGGAAATCTTTCTCCCGAGGAGCCACTGGTGGTCTTGAACTGCAGACCTTGTGGATTGCAACCCAATACTTCAGGCCAACTTGACAGCAATTAGAATAATCAGTTGTGTAACCCCACAGTGAATTGAGGCCACATTTCCATAATTGTTAGCTTCACTTTCCCTCTTCTACCACCCCTGGTAACACCAGTAAACCTTGTTCTTTATACATCTGCTTTTCTTGTCACTTTATATAAATGACAAAGGGGCTTTGAAGCATTCTTGGGGAATCCCATTGTCTTTCTGATTCCCCCCTTGTGCTTTTGTGGTTGACTGACCGACCTCTCAGCATGTTGTTGTTCAACTTCCATCTGTAGTGTGTGGCTCTGCACTTCATTTCTCCTGCTGCCTGGGTGTGCCACATTTGCCACAGACCCCGGGGTTGTCTCTGCCTTAGGGCTCTGTGAGCAGTGCCGCGGAGGACTTCGATGTTCTGGCCTCGTTAGGATCTCTGCTTTCAGGTCGGTGGGGCATGTAGCTAGGCATGCAGTTGCCTGGTGTTAGGTCAGTTCTCTCAGAAATCACCATGAAATTTGCACAACAGTTGTTTACCTTTCCACCAGCACTTGATGAAGGTTCTGCTGTCCCACGTCCTCCCCGACATTGGTCATGTCTCTTACTTAGGAGGGAGTGTAGTGTGAGCTCCTCTTTGAGCATCTCCTCTTGTGTCTGGTGACTTTGAATACCCGCTGGCCAAAGTGTCTGTTCAAGACCTTTGCCTGTTTTACAGTTAGACTGCCATTTTTATCGTTAATTTGTCAAAAGTTTTGTGTATATTTTGGTCATTAGATTCTTGTCGGATACCTGGTTTTCCAGAGAGTCTCTCCTGGTTGGTTTTCACTATTTTCCTGTGGTATTTTTTCTTTCTTTTTAAAATCACTTTATTGGGGACTCTTACAGCTCTTATCACAATCCATACATACATCCTTTGTGTCAAGCACATTTGTACATTTGTTACCATCATCATTTTCAAAACATTTTTGTTCTACTTAAGTCCTTGGTATCAGCTCCTCATTTTCCCCCTCCCTCCCCCACACCTTCCTCCCTCACAAACCCTTGATAATTAACAAATTATTATTCTTTTCATGTCTTACACTGACTAATATTTCCCTTCACCCACTTTTTTGTTGTTCATCCCCCTGAGAGGGGGTTATATGTTGGCATTGTGATCGTTTTCAAGAACTACAGGAAAGTTGTATGTTTTGTCGGTACTATACAGCATCCTGACTGGCTTGTCTCTTCCTGTGTCCCTTCTGTAAGGGGATGTCCAGATGTCTACAGATGGGCTTTGGGTCTCCATTCCACCCGCCCCCCTCATTCACATTGATATGATTTTTTGTTTTGGGTCTTTGATGCTTGTTAACTTATCCCATCGACACCTCATGATACACAGGCTGGTGTGCTTCTTCATTGTGAGCTTTGTTGCTTCTCAGCTAGATGGTCATTTGTTTATCTTCATGCCTTTAAGACCCCAGATGCTGTATCTTTTGATGGCTGGGCACCATCAGATTTCTTCACCACATTTGCTTATGCACCCACTTTGTGTTCAGGGATTGTGTTGGGAGGCTGAGCATCACAGTATGCCAAGTTATTAGAACAGAGTGTTCTTGCGTTGAGTGAGTACTTGAGTAGATACCCAATGTCTGCCTGCTACCTTAATACTTAACATATATATATATATGTACATAGATCTATTTCCCATTCATTATATATGAAGATATTTACATATGTACATGCCTGTATTTAGACCTCTATAAATGCCCATTTGCCTCTTGGTTCTTTCCTCTATTTCCTTTTATTCCACTATCATGTTAGGCCTTCATTCGGGTTTCAGTAATTTCTCTCATTTACATTGCCCTTGATCAAGCCCTACCAGGCATCCTATGCCCTCTTCGCCATCGATTGTTCCCTTTTTTTGTTCCCTTGTCCCTGGGTTTGTTAACACCCACTTCCTTTCCCCCACCCTCCCCTCTCTCATGTCCCCCCAGAACTGTCGGTTCTGTTGATTTCTCCTTCGGATTGTTTATCCTTCCTATCTTAGCTAGTTAAATATGCAGAGACAATAGTAAGCATAAAAACAAGACAGAGCAAAACCAAACAACAAAAGAAAACAACAACAACCAAATAAACCCAACGGGAAAAGGAAAAAAAACCCTATAAATAGTTCAAGGTCTGTTTGTTGCCCTTTAGGAGTGTTTCCCAGTGCAGTCTGATGGGGTGCCCTGCCCTGGCCCCAAGGTCTATTTTTGGTGTTCCCCAGGACTTCATTACCTTGCCTCCCTTGCTGCTTTCAGTGGTCTTTTGATGAACCAAATTTTTAAAAATGTCAGGAGGTTGTATTTATTTTGTTTTTGCCTTGTGTGCTTTTGTTATTATACTGATGGCCAGTTAAAGATGAGGTCTGTAGTCGCTGCTCCTTTGAGAATGTGTTCCTTTGAGTTTACATTTAGGTCCTTCATCCATTTTTGTTGGGGTATGGCCTGAGGCATGAATCCCCTTTTGTTTATTTCTGCATGTGGAAATCCAGTTATTGTTTTTTTTTCCAGCACCTTTTACTGAAAAGCCTTCCCTTCTCCCCTCGAATGGACTTAGCACCCATATGTGGTCATCCCTACATGCACTGTAAGGGGTCCCGGCAGCATCGAGGGAAACATGTTGAGGTGCTCACAACAGGGTCCCTCCCAGAGGGAGACTGATGAAGCTTTCTGGCCCTGTAAAGATTAAGTCTCGGAGACCCACAGGAGTAGTTCCACTCTGTCCCGAGGGTCGCTGGAAGTCAGCATTGACTCCATGCCAGTGAGTTTGGGTTTGAGAGATGCACTTTGGCTTTGTTTTCTGTGCGATTGGACTTCACTGCTTGGGGCTTCTCTAGAAATTCACCATAGACCTGCAGCCAACCCTGTTCACGTGGGGAGACACTGGATCGTGCAAACAGTCGGGGAGGTCTGTCTGGTTGCTCTTAGAGCAGCAATCTGTGGCCTTGTGGCTTTCCTTGGTAGTTAGGGAAGCAGGCTCATTTCCTGGAGCCAGGTCCTCAGTTTATAGCAGCCAGTGACTGGGGAGTGGGGTGGGGTCGTGGCAGTGTTTTTGCCTAAATGCTGTTTCCGTGTTTTTGCTATTGCATTGGGGGATGGGGGCCTGACCAGTGGTCTCATTTTGCCTCCCTTTTCCCAGAAGCCTCCCAGCTCTCCCTCTTGCTCCCACACCCTCCTGGCAGACTCCCAAGCCTGAAACCTGAAAGGTATTCTCCCCCGTGTCATACAGCTCAGCATCATGTCTCGTACTCTGCCTCCTCTCTGCCCTTCTCTCCCCATGCTGAGCGCATTCCTCAGCTGGGCGCCTGCTAATCCTTCCTTGACAGCATGCCTGTTGCCCCCTCTCTGAGTCCAAAGGCTTGACCCTTCAGTGGGCCTCGTCACTGGAAGCCCGACAGCACAGGAGGTCTGAGGTGGCACCAGTTGGCTCTGGAAAGCTTAGGGGACAATGGGATTGTCCAAACCTTTTTGGGAGCCCCCTCGTAGAGTCAGAGATGGTGCAGATGAGCACTTGCTAACGTGGCGGCTGTCTCAGCCGCGTTCTCCGAGACACGGCCTCATTCCTCTCCAAGTGCTACTCAGGCCGTTTGGCCACCAATGACAATCCTTTGGCCCTGAGGACCAATAAAACGAGAATAAAGATGCTCCCACCTCCCACAATCGGTGTAAGGAAAGACCAGCTCTTTGTCAGATCTGCTGCAGAACAAGCACTTCATTTCTCCTGCTGCCTGGGTGTGCCACATTTGCCACAGACCCCGGGGTTGTCTCTGCCTTAGGGCTCTGTGAGCAGTGCCGCGGAGGACTTCGATGTTCTGGCCTCGTTAGGATCTCTGCTTTCAGGTCGGTGGGGCATGTAGCTAGGCATGCAGTTGCCTGGTGTTAGGTCAGTTCTCTCAGAAATCACCATGAAATTTGCACAACAGTTGTTTACCTTTCCACCAGCACTTGATGAAGGTTCTGCTGTCCCACGTCCTCCCCGACATTGGTCATGTCTCTTACTTAGGAGGGAGTGTAGTGTGAGCTCCTCTTTGAGCATCTCCTCTTGTGTCTGGTGACTTTGAATACCCGCTGGCCAAAGTGTCTGTTCAAGACCTTTGCCTGTTTTACAGTTAGACTGCCATTTTTATCGTTAATTTGTCAAAAGTTTTGTGTATATTTTGGTCATTAGATTCTTGTCGGATACCTGGTTTTCCAGAGAGTCTCTCCTGGTTGGTTTTCACTATTTTCCTGTGGTATTTTTTCTTTCTTTTTAAAATCACTTTATTGGGGACTCTTACAGCTCTTATCACAATCCATACATACATCCTTTGTGTCAAGCACATTTGTACATTTGTTACCATCATCATTTTCAAAACATTT